GTGACCAGAGCCGGCTCAAGGCCTCCCCTCTCCCTTTTGTCGTTTAAGGAAGCGATGAGAGCGGGGAAGAAGATGCACAAATGACTCTTGTGATCGTCCCTCATCCCAGGGGCACCACAGGCTGCCTGGAAAGGGGTGACACATGGACAGGCACCTTGTTTGGAGATGAGGGATTCACATCTCTGGAGGGAGCGGTTCCTGTGCTGCCCTGGCACAGGTAGCAGTTCGGGTGGGCTCAGCCATGTGACACTGCTGATTTGCAGCTCTTTTTATTTTTTTTGCACTTTTTTCATGTTTTCAGTTTGTGGCTGGGATTTGCCTCCACTCCTGCTGACCCCTGAAGAGCTGGGAATGTGGTTTTTCCAAGATGCTTAGGGCTGTCTCTGGTGTGTTCCTTCTGCTTGTCCCCAAGCGCTTTGCAGTGGCCTGTGGAGTTATTTGGGGGTCTGCCTCTGAATGTACTTTGGACCGTGCTGCAACTTTTCCTTTGGTTAGTGGGGTGATGAAAGGCAGTGAGAGCAAACAAGGCAGGTAGATGGATGGAGGCCAAGAGTTTAAACTGCTGTTTCTGGCAACATTTCTGAACCCAGGCCTTTATCAGAGATGCTCCACGTCCTTCCCTTGTGAGGGAGGGTGGGGAGGCTGGCAGGAATGAGGAGGAAATGGGAGAACACTGGCATGAGACAGGGGACCCAGGGAGCTGAGCTGTGGCCCACTCGGCAGGCAGGCACAACAGCAAGACGTGCCTGAGCTGGGGACTGTGCTTCCTCCTGCTGCCTCCCAGCAGTGCAGGTGTCTTCTGGAGGAAGGCAGTTTGCTTTTGCCTTCAGAGAGTATGGTTTAAAGACAGGGCTGGTGCAGAAGAACAGGCATGGCACCCTTGGGAATACTGGCAGGTGTCTGGGGCTCAGTGGAGCGGTCCTTCCCCTTGCTGCTCACCCGTGACTCCTCCATGAGCGCTGGGCACACACACATCACGCTGTGCACAACCTCGTTGAAGATGCCAAAAAGCACACAGCTGGCAGGGAGTAATTGCATAAACAGGGCTGGTGTTTACCCTGTGATTTAAGCCTTGCCCTAAGCAAGCACTGCTCCATCATTTCCTTTGGAAAGCTCTGTGAGCAAACAGTTATTTACTGTCTGTTAACCTGAGTGGCTACACAAGTCCCATTTGGCTTGATAATTACTTTAGTGACTACAATTCATTCTGAAGAAGCAAATGATGAGAGCAAAATACCAACATCACCTTTCAATAGAAGCAATTACTGGGTCAGAAGAGCTGCTTTGCTTTCACAATCCACTGCCTGTGAAAAGCACATAAACGTGACTGGCCATGCTCACTGCTGGCCTGGGAAGTGTAGGAGTTTGACTCACACTCATCCGGGAGGGCGCTGAGCACCCACAGGGAGAGTGAAACAGCAGCATGGCTGGCCAAAAGCAGCACAGGGTGTGGGGAAGGGCCATATTCGTCTGAGAGCAGCACAGGGATCATGTTAGATCCATTGGCTGCCACGGTGTGTTAGTTACTTGGTCTGCCACACATCCCCTTGCACTGGCAAGTGGGAATTCTAGTGCCTCTGGGCCTCTACAGACATGCTGCAATAAAATCAGCCACATCCTACCCTTTCTCTTTTTGCCTGGTGGCACGTTTCTAGCCTGGAGTTTGACAGTCAGACACTGCTGTTGGTGCCATCCTGACCGGCTGTGTGGCTCCATCCTGACCTTGCTTGGCAGACAGTCAGGAGCATGGGCAGGACCCTGGGAGCACACACACCCCACCAGGAGGCTCAAGGAGAGCCCCACTGGAGGAAGGCTGTGCTTGCCTGGGACCCATCTCCAGACCTGGGTTGAGCTGGTGTTTGAGTTCAGCTGTCAGAGCAGGACCTCCCAGGCATCATGGGGAGAGTTCATTTGGGGACAACTCAACAGAGGCTGCCCGAAACACAGGGAGGAGCAACATCCCCGGGCATGCGGAGACTTTTCTCCTCCTCAGTGCTGGCTGAGCTGGGTCTGAAATGGCCCGTGGCACCTGGACAGGGGCACAGTCAAGCAGCTGTTGAGAGCAGCCCAACCTCCCGATGTACTTGGTGACCTCACAGGGTGTCTCAGATCTGCTTTGGCACCCATGCACCCTGCCCTGGTAATGCATCCTCCCTTATAATTAGCTCGTGGCTTAACCTAGAGCAAGTCACTGTGAGGCTGTAGCAACAGCATGAGCAACTCCATGTAACTAGAAGACACAACCAGAAAGAGCTGCTAAGTACCCTGGGGGCACAGGAACGGCTGTCCTCAAGCCTAGGGCAAGCCAGCACTGACTAGGGACCCAGTACAGGAATAACACCTGAACACAGAAGGGTGGGTTGCACTGCAGCTTTGTCCCTGGGTGGTTTCCTGCATCCCCCTGAGGGTGGAGTGGACTGTTAGCCCCAGCTGTATGGCAGCATACCGAGCCTGAGGCACCATGGAGATGGAGCAGGAGGAAAGGTGTGAGATGGGGCAGGAGAGGGTGTGCAAAGCACCACTACTCCTGTCAGTGGCAGAAACACGGTGAAGGCAAACCAATGAGTAAAGGAGAGATGGGTACAAAGGGGAAAACAACTGGAGGGGAGAGAAGGGATTTCCATAGAGAATATGCAGGAGCAGTACTGGGTCCATCAGGAATCATTACAAACTTTATTTCTCTGTGCATTGTGTACCATTGATAAGGATCATCACAATTAGTGGGCTCACTGCCTATAGTGGTGGGCAATACACACAAACTAAAAAAATGAAGCCAAACAGATGAAAATGAAATCATTGCACATAAAGGTAATCATAAACCTGAACAACCTGCACCTGTGTTTGATTCTTCCCCCAAAACAATGAAAAACAAAAAGAAAAACCCCTAACCCACCCAAAAGTGAAAAAAAAAGGCTCGAGAAAAAAACCCCCACAACTTCATATTCCTAGAGAAAATCTTACAGCAGATTCATTAAAATTTCCACAGATAGTTCAAAATGAGTACAAATACCCCCAGCCAGCTGGTTATGGTACAAGCATCAGACATGGTTTTCAGCTGAATGGGAAGAGCTCACCACGGACATGCAGGCTGGGAGTTTGCCTGGCCGGAACGTGAGGAAGCCTGGCAAAGGGCATAGGGTAAGAAGACATCTCTCAACACCAGTGCACAATGTCTCCTTTCTGCTGTGCCCTGGGGAGCTCTACACCCACACTTCCCTGGCTCGGCTCTCTACCCCAACCTGCACTACTAGCATGGGGGGTGATGCTGAGTTACACCTCCCTGTCTCATCCTCCCCAGCAATTTCGGATTCGGAGAGTGCAAAGTGTGGCCTTTTCCTATAGGAGATGCTTCCTGGTTGCACTCAGCAGAATGGGAGATCTCTTTATGGCCCTTCAGCCCTTATGTTGAATTACTCTGCCTCCAAATGGCTGTGGGAAAGGACCAGCTTTGTGGACTGATCCTGATGGCTTAACACTCAGAAACAGGGGCTGCCACCAGACCTCTGGGGATACAGGGAATAGCAGGGGACCAAGGGGTTTTGAGGCAGCCACCGACTACAAAGGCAGAAGCATGGGAGATGCTGGGAGTCAGCCACGCTTGTCCCCCTTGGAGTGCTCATCCCACTCGGGCTCCCTGGGACCTTGTGTAAAACCTTGTGTGGATAGTGGAAGCCTTCACACTGGCTTCAGCATGTCAGAGGACCCCAGCTACACAGGTAGACAGAGTCTGTAGTCTCTGGGGTGTGGGTTTTCCTCCCCTCAAAACCTACATCTGCATGGCTGTTATTGCTTCTCACGGACCCATGCAACAAGCAATAAGTGGGGACAGCTTTCCATCCTTTTACCCCCTGCTAAGAGGAAACAAACAAACAAGCAAAAAACCCTATGGCAAAACCAAACTAACTAAAAATAAATAAAACCCAGTGAAAAGAAAAACGCTTGTATCTGCAATGCTCAACCCACATGGTTGGAAGGACTATCGCTATAGGTTGCTATATACAGATAGATTTCATTTCATTCATGCAAATGTTACAAGTACCACGACAGCATGCCCGAGGAGGCGAAGGAAGCGGGAGGGAAGCCCCCGCTGCCCCACACAGCCTCGGCTTAGGACACTGGACACGGGGTTGCGGCTGTGCATCCCCAAAGCATGGAGAGGGAAGGGTGAGGGGCATGTGGGTGGGAAATGCTAGTTGTACACACGCCAAAACAAAACAAAAAAACCAACCCCAAATCAATGACGAAAACGGTTTGTGTTCTATCCTTAGAAAGCTCCCAGTTTCCCCTTTGCCTTCAGTTTGGTCTCTTGCTTCTCTCCAACAGGGCCAGAGGGGATGTTCCCGAGTGGCGAAGGCAGGTGGATGGCGGTTGGAGATCAGAACCCTTGCTTTCTTCTCCTTCCCTTGCCCACTGCTCTGTTTCTCACCAGCTACCCTGGCCTTCCTCATACCGACGCACCCCGGTCACCTTCATATCCATCTTCCCAGGTGGCTGGCGGGTGGGAGTCAGCGGTGGAAAGGGGCTCGGTGGCCATCAGCTGCTCCTGTTGGTAGAGTCGCAGAAAGGGCCCTGCTGCCTGGCTCCTGGCTTGGGCCACTGCCTGGGGAGGGGTCCTGCTGGCTTTGGGGTCCTGCCTAGTTCAAAGGATGCTCCAAAGCCGCTTTCCATCAGCAGGTGTGTGAACATGGCAAATCTCTTTTATTCTTTTTCTCTGTTCATGGAGTAGAATCACA